GATGAGATTAGTTCAAAGATGTCTTTATTTGAAAATCACGTAATAAGTAAACCTCTTCAATCTCACACAGTGCGTATTGAGCTGACAAAGGTTCCATTTAACAGTTTACTTTCATGTTCTACGAGTCGTGTATTTGTGCGTGCGTGATGTACAGTTGGTGTAATGTGTTTGCAGTCGTATGAATGCGATATGGAAACTTTCCATGTTTCTTGCATATATTCGTAAAGAGATGTCGTACATATCTTTGAATAATGAGTGGGAAAGAATTGTATTATTAAAAGTCTCTTGCAGTCCATATAGGCCAACCGGTATTTGTAATTATATTGGTAACGCGACGCAAGCTAGACTAACGTTCTTTTTTGAAGCCGTGTAGTTGATCAGCAGATGGTGAGAAAGATCATAGCAGCTGCTAGCAGTCAGTCACCCGCTAGTATACCCCTCCCCTTCTCCCTCAACAAGGACGTCACACTCGCACGTTACAGCACTGTAAACCTGTATTAATGTTATCAAAAGCGTTCAGACAACGAATGGGCCTGATTCTAATAAAACGTGTCTAGCCAAAGTTGGTACACCGTGTAACGCTTCGGGACTTTTAAGGAAATTGTGACTTCGCACTGTTTTAACTTCTTCGTAAGACAGGAAATTAACCGTACAGTGCGTTTGTTAGTGTCGAGACCACATTATAACTACGCATTTTTCACTTTTGAGATGTAGTAATTGTACACTCATAAATGTAATTAGTTTTTTTAACGAATCCAAAATGAATATCGAGTAGTTCAGTGTAGTCAGTAAGATAATCGATTTGTGGAACGACCTATCGAAAGGAATCAGGAATCGAATTGTTAATCATTGGAGGTTATGCATTGACGCGGATAAGACATGATAGTAACCATTTTGTGCCAATCAGTTTAATAAAACAAAAGGTTTACACACAAACAAAGTGTTCTTCGATTTACAAGAAATTTGTTTACGTTTCAGTGTAAGTTGATTTTTTTATAATTTCTAATAATGACGTAACTACTATTTTGCTTATTTTGATCATCTCTAGAAATCATATCTTTATCACTGATATGGGTTTGGTTCTCATATCTGAGTCTTAATGTTACATCATGCTAATTTGTGAGTTTCATGAAGGTGTACAAGAGACGTTAGTGTAGTTTTGAATAGTATGTGTTCTTTGTTTTGGTATAGACATCCTTATGTAGTTAAAAATGAGTGTATAACTACCTTGTCATGAATTCTTTTGAGTGAGAGGGTGGTTTTCGTCCCCGAAATAACTACTTTCGTTTCCGTGCGATGTAATTTTGCCTTTGGCAAAAAATATTAATAGACACCACAAGTTTTAAAAAAGAATACAGTGATGTGAGTTTATTTAAGAGTACGGTATTATAATTTGTATCGACGAATTAGGTATGGCTTGCCTGAAATTTAGTATGTGCGTTGCATTCGTAGTTGAACTAACTGTTCATTAATATCCTTACAGACCAGCAACGACTGCACGAATCGGAAAAGTTGAATTTTTAAATACATTTTGTGTTGAAGTCAACACAGGAACTTCACATTTCAGGGGGGGAAAAATATTGCCGTCTGTCGCATAACGTAGCAGATAAAATAATTAAGCGCATTAACAGAATGTAGCTCGGCCTTCGTTAGGGGCATTTCGGCATAATAAAAATTTGTCATTTTGTTTGATGACTTTTTTTTTAATGTTTCTCTTGGTGTTCGTTGTTGGGAACAGAGCATATCTAATGGAAAGAGAGGGGAAGATACAGGGCAACTCGGCGGGAAAATAAATCTCAACTGGGATGCATGTTATCGATTTGGTGCTAGGCGGAGCCTGGAGGCTAATGGGAGGAGCTTACGACTAACCTTTCTTTACCCCACAGCCTGATAGTAGAACCTGCGTAGATGCGTTGCGTACGATGTGCGTTAGCATGGTCTAACAACATACATTTTCATTCACAAACCATTTCTTTCTAGATTGTAGTAGGCGTTGTATCTGGCTGTAAAAGACGATATTAGTTTTGTTACGTAGCGTAAAACGTTCGTTTGTCCACATTATTAATGTTATTTCCGGTGTGTTGTCAAGGCTCGAAGTCAGATAGAAGTAGGAATTTTGTTTAAGTTCCATGACTTATTCTTCATTTGAATTTTTATTTAAAAGTTAAGTGTAAGAATCTCAATGCAGGAAATGTTATAGGCAAAAGACACATACTTTTAAATGTTTTTTTTTATTTCTTAAAAATATACCCGCGTATTAGACAAGATATGAATTAATATGTTAGCCCTTGAAAGGGATATTTTAAATTCTGGCTTCTTCAGTAGGATTTTAATAATCTGTGAGAATCAATCATTTGTCTCGACATGGATACGATTAGATAAAAATCAAACATAGCTGAGACAAATAACCTTATATAAACTTCATAATGAATTTGTTATTTCTGATTTTTATGAGGTGAATATTTTTTTTTGTTTACATTTACAAGTAAAGAGTCAATTTGTACCCACAGTAAGGGGAGTGTTGTGTTCGAAAATCGCTGGGGTTTTTTATCTCGTAAATCTACTGTAATATAACAGACGTATTAACCTCCAAACAACCATTTATTCTCATCACTATGGTTTATCACTATCCTACTCAGTCCATCTCTCCTCTTAATAAGTACGGATAAATATGCTAGCGCTGCAAGTTAGCTGTAGTGTGCCCCAGAGTGCATTGCAACAACATGGCTGCTCTGATACTGGATAGCCGGTCGTAACTTAAACTCCCTCGCATTTACTGACAGAAATTTAGATCGCCGATGATGAATCTACTTTTCGCTCAAGTCATAGGCCCATTTTAGTTTGTAAACCATAGCTAGAGCTTTGGAAACACAAATAAATGTCTATCATCGTAAGCAATTGTGGTGTCTGATCAAATTTTGAGGTTAGTTTTCCCATAAAGATGATGGAATAGCACGTAAGTGTCATTCAGTACAATGTCTCAGGAACAATGATAGTAAGATCTGTAGTAGTGCTTTATGTTTATGGAGTAATTGAATTCCTTCAAGATCACTCCGACAGTCGATTTCTGTTTGATTCAATAATACAATTTCAAACGTATGACCACCCACAAGCCCCTGATATGAACAACGTTTGAAATATGTGGGGGCGACAATTATTTCAGTTTTAACAGAGAGGGAACGCGGGGTGTTTTAACTGCGGAGATGTAGAAGTTAGAAGTTAGTTTGAAATCAACCGAACGAGAATTTAAACATTCGTAATAAGTGTATAAAGGATCTATGACGGGAATTTGCGAAAAGTTGGCTATAGGAATCCTGATTTGGTTTGTGACTAATGATAATGGTATTGTTAATTAGTGTGTTTAAATCCAGAACCGTCAAAGGATAAGCGGAATTTGGTTCATATTTTAGCACACGTGACGAACCAGGACAATAAATGTAAAGGAATTAAAATTTTATTACAGACTTATAACGAAGAAATTAGGGTAACTGAGGTATAAGTCGTGATCTAAGCTCAACTTAAAAAATAATTATCGACGTTGTAAATTAAATGATTATAGGAGAAAATTAAGCAGCTGGATGTACTGAATCGAAGCATTAACTATGTGAACTGACTGGGGAAATTTTAGTGAAATTTACTCCTTTACAGTGAAACTGGAGGTGTTAAAATTTTACGATCGTATTTGTTCGCAAATGAGAGTAGACAAAAATTTACGTTTTTTGGGCACAGTTTGATTACATACCAAAAGAAAAAAATAAATGATGGCTACTGGGTATTTTTGAACGACAAGATGACAGTGGACGGACGAACATAACGACTAGGATTATGCGGTTAAGAACGTTTGGCTTGGACATCCCTGTGATTAGTAGCACGGAAATAAGTCGGCAGAGAACAGGAAATACATCTCATTGCGTTAAACATAAGAAATTGCAGAGAAATTTGGCAAAGACAAAGAATAAGTCACGTTTGAGAGGGGAAGGGGCAGGAAAATTATACGTCACAGACGACTTCACAGAATGCGAGCTGAAGTCGAGTTGCTGACGCGAGAAATATCGAATAAGGTCGATCATACGGAAACACGTATTGCATCTTTGCCAGCTGGATCTATGGTAGGAAATAAGGATTTTATGGATTTATCCGAGCATTTTTTGTATAAATTGAGGCTGGAATTAATTAGTGAAAATGTTATTTAATGCATTAATTAAACTATAATGGTGTCAGATATTGTGTAAAGCCAGGAAAAGATACAGTATCACGAAAAATAATCTAAAATTCAAGTTTTTGTTTCCTTGTTTAATATTTTTATATAGAATGTCACAGATTATATTGATTGATTTGCGGTTATATTCTGCTGTGTGTTTGACTAAGTTGTGAAATATTTTATTTTCGGAGAATGTGTTTAATAACCTGTAATATTTATGTTTCTGAATTCTTTCCACATAATTTATCCACGCCGTCTTTTAAAACATCTCCAGTTGTTTAAAATACGATTATATTAAATTGCTTTATAATGGTTTTATTCTTAATTATATCAAGTCTACCACATCCGGCTACGTGAATGATAAATATGGTCCACTCAGCTTCTATAAGAGTCCGGCTTTCAGATACTAAAAACAGCCATTTATTACGTATGGAAATGTAAAAACTCTCCATTTCAGTGCTACCAAATAAAGCTCTTTTAATGGTACCACAAAACAAATGAAAGTAGTCGATTTTTTATCTAGGTCATTTGACTATCGATATCCTGTAAGCACTATGGCTGCCAAGTTACAGAGTTATTACGTGTTCAAATGTTTTATTCAAAATTTGAATGTTTACACCTCCATTGTAATTTTTTTGATATATTTGTTGTTACATTTCTGTATTTATTATCGTGTTTTTGTGTTCTTATCTCGCGCTGTATCTGTGATTGGCCTTCTGGCTTTCGATGCAGTAATAAAATAAAATTAATTCGAATAATTGCGTAGTAATCGTCTGATAATGTATTTCTGTTGTTGCAGGTTTGGACGAGTTTTTCCCAAATAAAATGATGCAAAACGGCATGGACAGTGTGCCCCAACAGAATGGCACATTGCATAACAATTCCTCCACCTCATCTTCTTCAAATTCACACAATTCCTCTTCACAAACGAATACTGGAGGTCAGCAAGAGGAAAGTAAGACAAACCTCATTGTGAATTACCTTCCTCAGACGATGACCCAGGAGGAAATTCGATCTCTCTTCTCTTCCATTGGCGAGGTAGAAAGTTGTAAACTCATCAGGGACAAAGTTACAGGTAAGTTGAAGAATATTTTATGTGATCTTTTTTGGGCTAGAATATCTGCCCGTTGATTATATTTCAAATATTTGTGTTGAGATGTTAATTTATATATTACGATAATTATATGGGTCCTCATGTTTGTTTAAGAAAGAAATTAAGAATAATAGTCATATTGTTATTTGTTTGTTTTATATAGGGATGGGCAACAATTTGATTTTTATAAAATGTTTAGTTGATCTTATTTTTTGCTTTTCGCGTTGGTGATACATTTTATTGTTACATTCTAAACCAAGTTCAATTTTCGATTTGTTTTTAGACACCGACACAGAGCCGTGCTCCAGTATTCTTGGTCGTGAGTACAGTTTATATATTATGATATCGATATCGATTTTTTTTTTAAATTTCGAAAAAGATATCGATATTGTTATTTCTGAACTTCTAGAATTTGCCCATCCCTGAAATTAACAATTTTTTTCTGAATATACGTCTATAATTAATTAACTTAACCTCTTAATCTGAGTTACTAACTGTTTGATGTTATTTTTATTGTGTCTTGTTTATTTTGCTTTGGATTTTGGGGTTTTGGTCTCAGCTGATTTCGTAAAAATATACGTTCAAAACTGAAGCTTCTATAAGATTGTGCAATGATTATTAACAAATGAACCGAATCGCCCCTTCAAATATGTCATAAATGGGGGGGGGGTTTAGTTGTTATTGTCATTAATTCCCTTGGAAATCCCTGTTAGGTATTGAAAAACCGACGAATCGTATCACAGAAATCGCTTTTGTGGCGATAGGTTAAGTTTCCATGGTGACGCTACGCTTAGTCACGCGATATCGAATCTACGATATATATCGATTTGGCGTATCGACACGAGATGGCTCTTATATAGGGAAGTAATTGGAAATTGTTTCTACGTGGATTCTTTACGTATCGGAGTTGTAATATTTGAATGAAAAGGTATTTTGTAAGGAAGGTAACAGGACAGTACCAGAATCTTTCTGATAAGACGTTATGTTAAGTAATACTTTGATATTCGTACATTATATCGAATTACGAAAAGTTTTTTTTTTAGTATATTACGCGTGCTGTTAAAGATATACGTTTGAAATTAAATATAGTATACTTACTATAGTGTTTAAAATAAATTATAAATCCGAAGCATTTAGAATATTTTCGCCATGTTTGGTTTTCTATTTTAATATTATTTTTTGTTTACATTTGTCGCGTATTCTGAAATTTATGTTTTAAAGTTATTCATTAGTTAAACGCTACACAAGATAAGTCTGAAACAGGTATCTGATCACTTTTTCTTGAGAAGACGCAAGTCAGCTGTGCGTAATGAACGTTGCTTTAGTAAATAACTTTTAATTCGTCATTTTTATGTGGGAGGAGTTTCAAAATAACGCTTAAAATCCTTGTATAATGGAAAAAAAACTTGTGAGTGTTTAATTTACGAGTAAAATTTTTGTGACGACAGGTCTAGTAGATTACGAAATTAACTTATAGAGGTATTTTAATTAAATGAATCCCATACTAGCATTTGTGAACAATTGTGACGTCAGTGAAATAAGACGTAACAGTTATTTTTAAGTTATTACGCGTTATTTTAACGATGTTAATGAAAAGAGGGAATATATGGTAGACCATGTCTTTCTGTCCGTCTGTTTGGCCTCGTGATTTAACTCGCGAACTGCTGGATGAATTTTGATGAAATTTAGTATGATTATTCTCTAAAAAATTATTTTATTTTGTAACATGGAGAGCAAACGAAGTTAGTTAGATAAATGGCGTAATCTCTTATATATAATTTTTTCTTTACATTTTTGTAGATTAAGAGACTTTTATTATATATCGTCGGTGAAACATATTTATTGATCAGTCAACGTTTTTGAATCTATGCTGTTCTTTTAACAATGTTTTTTCTGATAAAAAATGGAATGAGTAGAAAATGTTCCTAAAAATTCGCGAAAAATTTGAGGAATTTTTATATTATATTGCAATTCGCTCGTTTCTTACTCTAATGAAAAATTAGGTATGTTCTTAAGTTGAAGAGATATTCTAAGTTTTTACGTTATCAAATTTTGGAATTGTAGTTGAAGTCGAACAATTTTAGGGGCATGTAAGGCAAAAGAAATGTATCTAAGAAAGTCCATTGCATGGTGTGGATTTCTTATAGTGAGTGTGGAGTTTCCATACGTTGATTCGCGTAAGTGAGGTTTTGCGAACACATTGCCTGGTTCACAACAACAGCTGTTCTACCGCTTGGCGGAAATGAAAGGGCAGGTGGTATATGGCCTCGGGGAGGGGGGAGTGAGTGTTGGCTGCCGTCCGTTGATCGTTATGTGGGTATTTTGACAGTTGAGTTTTAAATTCCCTTTAAAACCATACGACGTATACAATGGTTAAAACTAATACGTAATTTGGCATTTATATATTTTTAGGTTATGTAACCCTTTACAGTCATATCATTCATTACTTTTATTTGTATGATGACATCGACAGGAATTAACGAGGGATAAAATTTAAAATGTGATCTTATGGTTTTAACGCCTGTAAATATGTGGGTTGTTACTCGTAATTCTATGAAAATTTTGTAACCACGCACAAGATTACATCGGAAAACCGGTTCAATTTTCATGGAAATCTGTCTCGCGTAAGACGAGAGATATTGCATGTAATTATAATTTATTGACGTATCTGATAAATAAGAAATACAAGATGTTTTATTATTTCACAGAATTGGTTCGAGTATATTCTGCTGGTAACATTTATTTTTTTGTATAATAATGGGTTCTAATTGTTTCCTATTGCATAAAAGAAATATGAACTTCCAATTTAATGCAGTTTAAAGTTTTTAAAGAATATAATAATGCATGTAGATTACTCATTAAAATATTAATGTCCATGGCGTGTCATGAATTTTTCGGTAAGTTTGTTAAGAGAAACGATTATTTCTTTTGCTTTGTGTCAATGCGGACGAAGGGAAATCATAGTTCATTTTATTTCAAAAAAGATGCGAAAGCAATGTACGATCACTGAGTTCAGTTTGAAATTTTACAGTAGTTTATACGAATATGTTATTTTATTATTAAATTTTCCATGTTTCTACACCGACATATAGGCAGAACTAACCGAATTCTTATAAAATCGTCATTAAGAATTCTGTAACGAATAATTTATAAGCCCTGGATAAACAAAGTGGTTAAGGTGTATTCCTATAAGGCAACACACGACCTTGTATGCGCAGAAGTTTAAAAATGAGTTGTGCGCAGAAATTGGAAGCTGCTGCTTTGCGCGCGGAGCTGGCGGCCATGTTCAAACTCACAGCGATTTACCTAAAGCGGTAAAATATTTCGTGAGAGTAATTTCTGTTCGACTTAACGTTATACATATCTGATAATGTTTCATTATAAGAGCTAAATATATTAATTCTTACTGCCTTTTATGTATTTCGTAGACTTTTAATGATCATTGTTACAATTTATTATTTGGTTGTAAAACCATTAAATCACTATAATGTTGACGTTGGAGGAACTTTGTTTCAATAAGTTGGAAATTAAATACAAGGCCACGCACATCACAAAGTAAACCACTATACCTGACATATTACTGAAATCACAACCTAAAATCTGACATCTAATATTAATATTAAAATATGCCCTAAATTCTTCTTTGTAAGTCAATACTTACAGCAGAGCCATCTTTATGCGCAGTGAATTATAGACCCTTATAAGATTTCCGTCGTTGAACAGCATTCTTAAATAATCTGAGACATCATCCACGTTAATACCAGCTGTGAAATGTCACTTATGTAATACAACTAGAGCATTAAACTCGCTGCTAATCAGTAGTTTACTGGCATGCCCACAGAGGTCACTGCCTTCGTGCTGTCCTAAGCGTTCGTAGTATGATTTGCACAGTACCCTAGAGAGAAGTTTAAAATGATGTAATGTATATGTCGCACAGCCCACGTGCGCCGATATGCACGTGGCTGGAACGAAACCCTAATACCTCATTTCCGGAAACTACATTTGTGGCTCAGCTGTGGCAAGCGACCGTTTCCTGCTGTGTGACGGAAGACACATGATCTCTGCCGATGGGATCTTCGTCTCGATCTTTAAGTTAGATCTGCCGCGTAGACGTTACTCGTGATGTGACCAGGTAAAGCTGGAAGGAGGTAATTTTTAGGTAATATCACAGCCCGTAGAGCGCGTATTAACATTTCTCTGCCTATCAAATCTAAAACTTCTTGACGATGGTGAAGAGTCAATTGAATATATATATATTTTTTTTTTGATATTATCCATCGTCTAGTAAATATAAAACGTAAAAACGACGTTTCGGAGATAGGGATTAGCTCTATTTAGTGCGCCCAACTGAGTAGGAACCTGAAGACGGAGATAGAGTCCCATCTCCGAAACGTCGTTTTTACGTTTTATATTTACTAGACGATGGATAATATCAAAAAAAAAATATATATATATAATATTCAATTGATTTCTCTGCCTATTTGTTTATCTGTAGGCATGAAATAACTCGATCTACTTCAGAAAGAATGGTACAAAATCTCGTTTTTTTTACGTAGATTTGACAGTTTTAACGATCACGTTATATAATGACACAAATATTCTATAGAGTTTATCTTCATATCACTACAGACATTAACCTTGGTTACCATGGTTAAATTAATTATTTTGTTCATTATGCTTGCCTGGGAAGGGGGGATCCTCCGTGATGACATCATCACTCAGTTATCCTTCCACAAAAAATGTTGTTGACTCCAGAGAAATCTGCTTTAACTAGAGCCATTTTCAGAGATCAGTTGTTAAATGCTGTCTAACGCTCTAATGTTGTTACGGTATTCGTGTTTAACCTCAGATATGGTAGACTTAAACCTTTCTGAAGCTTCAGAAAAAAAATAAAAATGTTTGATAACATTTTAATTCTTCTCATAAAAGTGTAAAATATTTTTCACCATTTTTTTTAAAAATTAAATTAAAATATTTTTTGCTTAAAGGACGTTTACATTTCGCCTACAGAAAATACGTCATATATCATTCAACGCAACTACGTCTTCTGAACTTTACTTGGGCTGATTTTATCAGGTCTTATGAGACTTGGGTAAAGGCGAAGTTATCCGTGATTCGTAAGGACCAAAATCCCGTAACAGCATTACCATGGCAATGGTCATAACAACACATACATTCATAAATATTATCACTTAGGACCAAAATCCTTTAACTGCCATTGACAATCAACCAAAAAGACAAAGTACACGTATTAATTTTTTTATTATTATTACTTAGTGTTCTGTCTGACGACAGGTCCATATGAACAGGATCCTTCCA